TGTATTTATGTGCACTGTCGGACACTGTTAGCGCGAACACGACGTCGGCGCTTTTCAGCGTGGGGGATATACGTGCCAAACGAACGAAGAACATCTGGACATTAAGAAAGACGGCAAGAACTACGCAGTAACACCGGATCAGTAACTACACGTACATGTACGATCAAAATTAATTGAGGCCACGTAATCTATTCCTATTTTAAATAAGTAAGTACCGTTTTATTCTTTCTGCTCTGAGCGAAGCTGCTTGTTCTACGTTCAAAATATCACTCGCACGCTCGAAATCTCTGAGAACAAGTGCCCGATAAAAGCTGCCCGGCAGAGAAAACAATACGAAGAGACAACTTTTATAGCCCACGGACTTTATTCTCTACGTTTTGAACGTTTTTATCCGCTCATGCACGACGGGGTCATTTTTATATAGTGACAGGACTGGCATATTATCAATATATAAGCGTCACCGGATTGCTGGCGAGCCTTGAACACACTCTACATTCCTTTCGATCGTAATTTTGCTTCGAATCGTCGCTTGTTTTTACACACCTGCTGCGGAACACACTTTTGGGACTGAAATGTAGCGAAGATAAACATCGGTCACTGATGAAGAAAAATGCGCTAACTAAAGCAATTATACTTTTACAGTGTTAATCAAGGTACATACTATTCGGTACGACCCAAATAACCAAAGTCTTTCGTGTTATTTTCCGGCGAAGAGACAAAATGCACGCGCGCTTTCCCATAGGAATACACGGGAAGACTGGAAAAGTAGACTGGTTGCTGTCTGCTTCAATTTGCGTCACGGAAGTCGCATAGAGACTAGCGCCAGTTGAACCTCTAGCGTACATTATAATAACTCTATGGTCACGGCACACCAAAACGAATGTTTATTCCCTCGTGCCCCTGCACAAGTCACGGGACCCACGGCACGCGCGTGCGTGCCTCGCTTATAGAAAGCGGGAAGTTCAAAAGGGACTCACGCCACACTTAGTGGACAGCAACGTTACTAAAACACTCAGTTGGGAAACTCCCATAGAGACAGCTTTGAAAAAGTGGCCCCAATCTGTCTCCGAGCACCGAGCTAATGACGAACACAACGCCAACATTTCTCCCGCAGCGGCCACTCCTGAAACTGCACGTGACTTCTATTTCGGCGTAAGAACAGATACAGCGGTAGAGGTTACAGGGGTGCCACCCCCGTCTCCCCGGCGGACGCGCCGCGCTCAACTACTGACGCTAAAATGCACCTAGGTCAGGACGTGCTACCTGAAAGGCCCGCTGAGGCATGGTTGTATGAAAACAATATTAATTGTTCCGCAAAACCTTGCGAACTAAAGATGATAAAAACATCACGCGCCCGTCATTTGGTACTAAACTCCAATAAATTCCATACAAAAAGAGTCTTTTCCGTTTGTTTTTACGCAAAAACAGGCTTTCAAAAAGCTCAAGGTGACCACAGTACAGACAAATGATAAAGAGTGGCGCTGTTGTCGCATTTAGCTCGGTCTCGGTGGACGCCAGCGGCTCAGGTTTCGACGGCGAGTTTCCCAACTGAGTGTTTTAGTTACGTTGGTGCACAGACAGTCGTACAAAATCACTTTTTCTAAATTGCTTTCGCTGAATAGAGCCAACTCCAAGTCACGGTCAAAAATATCGAGCGCCATTGTTGTCGGAAAGCTCGTCTGCTTCTTTAGCAGACGAACATTTTAGAACTTCGCTGTGCTAGGGGCGACACGCCGTGGTGCGCCAGGTTTTGTATTACGGAAGCGCATTCATTCCAGTAAAAAAACGAGACGAATTATAAGTAGGTATACTATATTTTTGGTTCTCTATATATTTAGGGTGCGATCTTTATTTACTTGAGTTTCTGCGATTTGTGCAAACACACGCAAATTTGTCTTTTCTCGATGAGGCAGATGCAGGTTTCCGTTGCCAGGGGGCGCGACGTGTACCGATCGTCTGCTATCGTCTGCAAATACGGTTCCCCCAAAGCCGTTTCAGGGCACACGATCGGTCCACACGCCCGATCCAAGGTATCGATCGTTTTTGTTTATCGATCGTAATTTGTTCCGGTTCCCTAAAACTCTCTAATAAGGGCGTCAAAACGCTACGTCCTAGCGCCCGTCGTTTTTCGACGTGCACAGTGTGACCGGCTGAACCAACCAAACGCAGGTCAGGCGCCGTGACATTGCATTTTTGTTTCGTAGGTTTGTGCTTGTGTGTCTTCTATCTTTCGACTGCGCTTTGACTTTTTATGAAAAGAAATAAAAGTAGTGAACATTTAATGGGCTCAAGGGCTACATTTATCGCGTGACCGGTGGCCGCAACTGAAACTAATATCAAAGCCGGCAAAATGATGAAACCCAGGATACTGCCTCAATTACAGCGAAACTTTATATGACTAGGGTTCTATGCATTCTCGGGAACCGTGTGAAAAAACTAAATTGCATGTACAAGGGTTCATTTTATGGAAATTTATATACGCCCCGTCACCTCGATATGCCTTTTGCTAGGGAACGACATCAAAACGCGTGATAAGAAGGATACATCAGAGAACAATGGGTATTTTCTCACTCGAGTCGGGTGACGTAACTGCATTACATATATAAAAGCAGGAGATTTTATATAAGGAAAGCACTATATATATATATAAACTTAAATTTAGTAAAAAAAATCTCACCAAAGTTGTAATGGAACCCATTAGTGTATGTCATAGTGATCAAAAAGCAATCATCCCTATTGCTTCAAGATGGTATATATACACTGTATATAAACATTTGGTGAAGTGCTTTTGTGTGTCTCATGATGAAACATTTGCGGTTGTGCTCTGCAGCTTCAGTGGCCAATCACCTTGAGAGAGTGGAATTGCTCACCTTTCGGCTTAGAATTCTCTTTCGAAACTGCCACCTCCGCCTTATAGTGTAATCACATGACCAAAAACGTTCCTAGCGAGCGTATACATTTAGTCCCACGAAAATCCCATGGTCTTAGCCCCCCCTGCTTTTGCACAGCTCGAGCGGCTGGACACGCGCGGCGTCGGGGTTTTCCACTTTGAATAGACCGATCCCACCAAGCGTTCCACGCATCTGTGACGCCGCCATAACTGTAGTTCCTAGGAGGCAGACGCCAGTTCACGAGATAGTTAATGCCACCTCGTGCTCTGCTCGCCCAGACCTCCAGCAAGGTTGTTGCGCGTGCAGAAAGACTACAGCTCCCACGATGCATGTCGGCAGTGGTGGCGTACTCAAACTAGCTGGTGAGATCGGTCTATTGGTTGGGGTTACTGCCACCATCTATCGTCATGGAAACCACCCGAAACTGCGTACACAGCCGTCCCTGCTGTCTTGGCGAATTCGGTGTGTCCGTGCGTTGTCTGCACCTCACCGCTACGACGCAGCGATGCTCGTTTGTTTCTCGGCACCGCCTTTCGCCGCCGCTTGGGGAGGATTCGACGCTATAGACCAGTGTACAAAATCCGAGCACCCAGCGAAAAAAAAGAGAAATATCATCACACGCAGGCTCTTCTGAAAAGAGGGGCTGCGCATAAAACAAGATTTTTTGCTTTCTACAACACTCTTGGCATCAGTGTTGTGTTTGGAGTGTCATGAGTATGAATTTTTGACGTTCTTACACCATGATATGCGCGAAGGTTTCCAAAACCACTCGGCAGAAACAATTAAGACTGTTTACATGTAGGAATGCGAAAGCATTCCTACAAGCAGCTCGTCACGTTTTTCTTTTTCACACGTCGCTGGCGGTGACACCACACTCCCCCACTGCGCAGGCACGGCGCACCCGCCGGCTCCGTGGCTTCCGTGACGATGCATCTGCGTTGCTGTGCTTTTCTTTGTGTTATATTTCTGAGGCGCGTCCGCTTTGACGTTGAGCGCCCGGCCGGCTTCCGTGGCGAACCATCTGATATGATGCTTCGCAGCCAATGCGAATTCCGCTTGTAGGTGCCGCTTGTCTGTTACAGGTGGTTACAGACAACGGCGAATTCTCTCCATGGGACAGTTATTGCTTTCGCATTAAAAACTGAGCCTTGCGAAATGCGCAGCCCCTCTAGTGTGCCATGGCGTTAACATAAACAAAGAGGGTGGCGCCGATGGAAAAAAAGGAGACACTGACATATATAATTCCAGTGCTGTGTACACAGCACGACACCTTTTCAATGGCGAATAATTAGTGCACTTTGCCACTTCGAATAAAAATACTGCAATCACACCTAGCAGCTAGCGGGGAAGTGATCATGAGGAACACTCACAAAATCCGCCGATATCCTGTTCACAGTAACAGTTTCGCACAGTGACTGCGCTACATTGTTAGCCGCGTACCAGTGAAGACTCGAGTACCTGAGTACCAACCAACACAGCCGTCTTGGCTGTATTCGCGAACCCGGTGTCTCGGTGCGACAGCGCGAGGTGCTTGCGTTCTCATACCTTGGCCGTACACACCGCTAGGGGAGTTTCTGGTGGCTCGCGTTCAATGTCTAATGCACATGAACAGAGTGGTGTCTATTCTCCAGTTGCTTAGTAAAGTAACTAACTGCTTTTAGTCTCTTGGACCGCCGCTCGTCTCTTATATTTACCCTTTCAACCAACAATCTTTAACTATTGTCCGCTTAAGGGGCTTGACATTCATGTTGTTGCGTATAGCTGGACGGCCAACATTTTTATGAAATCTAGGAAGCACGACTACGGACTGTTATGTTTTTACTGAGAAAACAAAGGCAGGAAGGGGAAGTCAAGGCGATTGGTCCTGGCAGCATTTAATGTTTTGTTTTTAGCATGGCGAAACATGAAACTATCAGACGACGTTTAAGGATAATATAGCTCTTTTTATTTACGGAATTGTTCGTCTCTTTACGAATTTGTGAAAACGTAAGGCTTGCTTAAGGCATTTGGATCGACAAATATATAGTAGAATATTATAAACGAACAAAGTCTCTTCTTCCAAAGAAAGCTGAAAAGCTTCAGCATTCAGTCATTTTTATACATTTTTAGAAATAAACACGTATGCAGTCATCACTATGTGCATATTTGCTACACGTCTTTCGTTAACAAAAGTTGTGGATACTGCAGGAAGAAATCAGGAAGCTTTGAAGCATCTGAAGACAACGGGGAAGCTGCTCCCCAAAAGCTGGAATTCGTTCTTGGAACCGATACCTTAGACGATATAGAGAAGGCAAAATCATCCCAAGCAAGGTCAGTAGAGAAGCTGCAAAGTCAACCAAAGGTCAGGATGCTGAATGCATCCTATTCATGGATGCTGCCGTTTTTGACCTGCCGGAGACCACTAGGAACACACGCTGGGACTGCCACGCTATTATAGCCACAGTTGCCCTTTCAGCATTTTGATTTTTCTTTGGCAGTTAGAGAGTTAGTCATTGCTATCGCTCATCTCAACAAAACATTGGGGAATTAACACGAACTTTCGTAAGTCAATATCACTGAACATCATCCGTACAATATCACTGAACATCATCCATCAAAAACGGCACCGTAGTGTGGTGCCGTTTTTTTACGCTGTTAAACAAACTGAAAAAATCGGCGCCTGCACATGGAGAACTAAAGTTTCACCAAATAACTATTTATGAAGTGGATTTTACCTTATGAAGTTTAAAGGCGTAGTTATTTTTTTAGCAGAAATAAATTAATATATCTTGTGATTTGGCAGGCAAATTAATATAGCTTGTGTCGCCTTTTCTTCATAGGCGCAGCGAGCAGACGACGCACTTTGTTTTCTGCTACCTGTGGCTATCGGGAAGTGGCGCCATAAGTTACGTTCATCTAAGGTCCTATCTATCTCTAATTAATTTGTCTAACAACACGTCTTTGGTTCACTTTGGCAAATTGGTTACCTTACCTTCTAAAAAAAATATATGCCTTAACTTTTGGCAAGATTAAATCACCCAGCCAGGTGCACATTTGGTGAAAGTTTGAGCTTTATATATGCGGGCGCCGATCTTTCCAGTTTGTTTTACAGTTTAAAAAAACGCCAAACGTTCTGTAGTATAACTTCGAACAATATGACGGGAGTTCTACCTGTGGAACTTTGATCTTTCGGCCGCAACATTTTGAGGAAAATTATTTTTTCCAGCCAGATTCGTCACGAGCATACGGCAGTCCGAAAGAAGTTGGTAGTTATACGGTGAGGTACCAAGGGAATAAAATTTGCTTTATGTGAAGATGTATTTAAATTTTCTACGTCCCTTGGGCCTTATTTGACCTTCTTTATGTTTGAATGCACGAGAGCAAAATTGTGTTTCAGCATCAGTTCGCAGAAAGGGTCTCTCGGAAAGAGAAAACGATAGGGCAATTGAAATGCGGTGACAGATTTAGGATGCTATAATTTTTAATCGTGTTACTTAACACTACAGATATACCGGCGACACTGAGAGGCTCATCTATCAATTTTCTAACTATGGAAAAAAGTTCATTCAGTCGTCCAACATGAGTCCGGACGGCTACGTGCACATGGCCATGCAACTGGCGGCCTTCAGGTAAGAAAATATTGCTGGAGCGCGGAACGCGCTTTGCTTGAAATGAGGTTTTAAGTTAGTGGGTTATCTTGTGTAGTTTTGTAGTTTATTTGCCTGTCAGGGAAGGAGAAGTGTCTGCCGAGGGGGTATTTTCTTCGACGCCACTCGTGTTCGCTCGCCTTCGGATGGCTTATGTTTTTCATGTGTAATGCAGCTTGCAGTTTTTACGGCAAGCACCGGACGAGAAATGGGAGTAGAGCCCCCCACGCAGAATCTGTGCTCAAACACGGCCGTTTTCTGTTTGCGTACGTCTTTGCACGTAGGCCGTCCGAGTGCGCAGTAATGGGCGGGGGCGAACAGACAAACACGACAACGATGGTGTTGGCGCAACAACTTCTTTCAACCTTGAGACGCGGGCCTGTGCTGTCTAGAGAGGAAAGGGAGATCACTCGCGTGTCTACTAATTGAGCAGATCCCGAGAGCTTAGAAGATTCGGCTCTGGAACGAGGCCCGAAACGTGTTGCGTTTTTTTCTTTTGGTCGAAGGTGTGTTTTTATATACATTGTTTTTTGTTGTTGTAATAAACGTGGCAACACTCGTCACTAAAAATTTACCACCTCGCAACATAACCAGCGGAACCACAAATGTTTATTTATTCAACCCTTAAAGGTCCAATGAGCATTACATAAAGGGGGGCAAGGAATATAAAATCAAAAATACAGAACACCGCACGAAGCGAAAAAAACAAACAAAAAAACACATCAATTATGCATTTGTACACGCTATAAAAATAGCAGGGAAAATCCGCACAGAAACAAATGAGGTCAAAAATCACCAACATATCGTCTATGTAAGCACTCGACAAAAAAAAATAATATTAAAAGAATAAAACAAAATAAGAAACATATAATAAAATATAAAAATAAGGTAGCCAACTATGAAAACAATGTAGAAATCGCCTCACGGAACAGGCCGGTGTCACTAATGTCGACTATGGTGTTGGGAAGGTCGTTCCAATCGCGGATGCCTCGCGGGACAGCGGAGTTAATAAACGCATTAGTTTTACCGGTTAGGTGCTTGAAACTTTTGCTATTAGTGGTTCGATGGGAAGATCTGTTAGGAGGCTCAAGAAAATGTGTATTATTAATGTGATAGTAGAGCTTATGGATGAGGCACAGAAGAGCAATTTTACGGCGGTTTTCGAGTAGAGGGAGAGAACACTGATCCTTTAGAGTAGAAACACTTATGTTATACGAATAACTCGATGTTATAAAACGTGCCGCTCGATTTTGGACGGCTTGGACCATCGTTGGCCATCCACATCGATCGGCTCCCCCTGCCTCAGAAATTTGACTAAGAGTTCCGTGTTTACGGGATTTATTAGAGCGCAGCTCTTAGGCATCCGTTTACGGCTTGAGCGGCGTCGGTGTAACCGCGAGTTTAATTATGGGAGTTTCCAAATTAATGACGTCACACGTGACTGACGTCACGTGTGACGTCATGAGGGTCACTCGTCACGTCACGGCACGTTGCATGATGGGTCCCTGCTAAATTCAGCGGAAAAATTTACCCCGCAAAATTTAGAGAAAAAGTTTCCCCGCTTAATGTAGCACAAAAAAAATCCCCTCTACTCTTTTCGCTAAGAAGTTTCCCCGCTAAATAGAGCGGAGAAAATGAAAGACGTTTACAACTCCCTGTAATGCCGAATTAGAAAGCAGCTCTTGAAGACGAGGAGGGGGGAGAGGACGGAGGGGACGGTATGCCCCTCCTCCTCATCTATACCCTCTCCCCCCTCCTAATCTCCTCCCGTTCCTATTAAAAAAAACATTTGAAATTGAAACGGGTGGGAAACTGGTCGACCCGTTTGAATCAAATGGATGGCAAACCTGTTAATCCGTTTGGATCAAGCGTGATTATGGGATACGGGTACCCGTTTGAAACGGTACCAGTTTTGATATAGGTGCCCGTTCAACCAGGCACGTGGCCACACTTTTGAACGCGCCATTCGGATAGGCAAATTATTCGCTAGCCCTAAATGGGTATCGTCTGGAAGGTTGGTTCTCTTAGACTTATTTGAGACGTCCCGAAACTCATAGACCCATTTCTAACATGTAGGAAACACGTGGAAATGATTGTGCTCGCGCAGGTGCTTGCGAATGGGCAGGAAAACAGAAACAAAAGATCGTTTTCAATTCGCCTAGAATTTAATTACAACTTATTTCGTAGACAAGTACAAACGTGCAAGCGATCTGTGAAATGTGAAGAAGCACTCTAAGCTTTAACACAGCCGGGGTAATTTCAGACTATATGGCAGACTTTGGGGGAAATTATTCGCCCGGCTGCCGCAAGATTAGACGCTGCACACTTCTATGGATAATCTGGAAAAGTACGCGTTGAAGAACGGTCACTCGTAGCCAACAAGTAGGTTCCAGTGCACTTACCATAATAAAAGCTGTCTTGAAAGATGTAATCCAAAATATTTGTCGACACGGTCAAAGCATGGGGACCACAGAAACACTAAAACGAGAAGGAAGGCTCGTTGAAGTTTCAACACGATGCGGCCACAAGCTGTCATTTGCCGAACCCAACCAAACCGGTAGAATTCCTGACTTCTTTGAAGAATCGCTTGTTGCCGATATACGCGTAGGACTTTTCGAACACTGATAGCTTTGATGCACATCTAATACGTTGTCAAGAGACATCCTAATAAGACCGCAGGGTTAGACGACATATTGAAGCAGGTACGACGAGTGAAGTTCGAACTGCTACTGAAAACAAGCAGACAAAGAAAAAAGCGGCTGTCAGGCGCGCCCTTCCGAAACCCGATGCTTATCAGCGTGTAGCTCGCGCGCTGCTGCGGGGATCATGTGACAGAGCTGACCAGAGGGGAGGGAGGGGGCCAGGTCAAGGCGCAGTACCCGGGAAACGCCCCACCCTCTATAAAAAAACAAAGCAAAAAAACTCGCGGTTAGTTTTTTTTTTTTTTGCAGTCAATACTAGGTGAGGTGGTGCACCAACCGCTGTAGCGCCAAATATTTTACTAGGGGGAATACATTCCACTCTGCCCATTGACCCCGTAAGTCATGACGTCACAACATGGCGTCTGGGTCCAAACAAACCGTTGCTAGGGACGTTGCTATGAACTAATGCATGGAGACTCGACAGGAGGCTAGATTTTCGCTTACAAGTAAGTAAATAATTTTTTGTAAGCAACCTAACTTCTTAATATCTAATTATGGAGATGTTCTTGTCATCTCAGCGTCGTATTGCAACGATGGAAGCCATTTCTGAAGTATTCCACTCCGCTTTGCTTTGGTAGCAGACGACACAATAGGTTTGCTGGCCTTTGTTGCAGCGGGCGTCTTCATTGAATTGCTTCGGTAAACGAGCAACACAAGCAAGTGCATCGCCATGGCCGTAGAGGCCTCCGCAATGTGCGTTATTTTTCTGTGAAGAACCCAGCTCAGTTCAGAGGGGCGAAAATTCCGTAAAATAAAACCACGTCATGCAGATCAGTTACGACGACGACCTGAAGTGCATTACCGGCGTAGTGCAGGCCAGCATAAGAAACAAATCGTACGCTGTCGAGGTAGGTCGTTTATTATTATTATTATTGAGGTTGTAACCCAAGCGGCACAAGAATATTAGGCGAGTATCTACACAATATGGTTGGCAAATACTCGGAATATACGGTTCTTTTCATCCACACGATGTCTAGACAATATATTTTTAAAAGCGGGGCAGTACCAGCACAATATCACAGGAATACCGCCACCGTCAGGCTGAGTACCCACCCGGCGCCGAAAATATCTATAGAGTACTAGCAGCGTCGGCTGAGTGCATGCGAGACGTCGCGTGTTAACCCAAGGTCAATCGAGTTGTCGGAGTACCCGCCGGATATCGCCAGTATATCCATAGAGTACTTGGAGCGTCGGCTGAGTACCCACCGGGCATCGCGTATGTCAATCAAGCTGGCGTGTCGTCTGAGCGCCGGCTGGATATCGGGCGTATATCTATAGAGTACTAGAGCGTCGGCTGAGTATCCGCCGGGGGTCGAGAATTTCAATCTTGTACTGGAAGTGTCGTCCGAGCACCCACCAGAGATAGCACGTATATCTAGAGAGTACTTGGATGGTAGGGCGAGGACAAGACGGGCAGGAAAGGAGGAAGCAGACGGAATGCTGCAAAGAAGAGAGGGGCAAACCTCCTAGCCTCTTTAGCGTTCCGTCTGCTTCCTCCTCCCCGGCCCGTCTTACCCTCGCCCTACCTTCTCGAGTTGCTACGGACTACAGATACCGCCCTATTTATGTGCTCCAAAAATATTTTATTTGCTCACACCACCATTACGCTTCGGGCTTTTTTGGCACCTTTATTATACACACATGTAGATACATTATGCATACCACAAGCATCAGCTCAAAATATACATTAAGCGCATACACACACACGGCACATACAAACATCAGCCCAACAGCACACTAACCACCTCCTAGAAACAAAAACCGTAGCGCTCTTCTCGTGACGTCGCAGCGCAACATTCCTTTTAGCTAATAAGACGTCCGTCGTATGAGCTAGAATAAATGCTGCACATAGCAACTGGTCTAGAAAACATTTTATTACACGGGAAAAACATTACACCGCTAAATAATCGGTACGAAACGGCACGAGGTTTGAGTGTAAGACGTCTATAGAAAAATGTGATTGTTTTAAATCGAAACCTTCGGCAAAATGGCGAGACACGCAGTGATTGTAGACAGCAAAACAGATCACTGTTAAAAATCAGGTTGACGTAGTTAACGCGGATACGGCTAGACAGGTGTCATTTACGATCATGTAAGGGGCTGTTATCGCGTGCAGTCACTGAATTCTTGCATTTTACCATGGCCACATGGCAAAATTAATGTAATTTCGATCGAGTGACATTGGACAAATTAGCTTGCGACGACTGTATATTCACTCAAGACCGTGAACTGGTTAAATTTCATATCATTTAATGAAAATATACTAACTTTTTAGTGTGG